GGGGGGTGGAAAAAAAACTTGACTTCAAATAAATATTCAAATGCTTTTTCGCCGTGCCGCTCCAGTATTTTTAGGTCAGATGGTGATTAGCTAGGGGAGCATAGTATTTAGGACATCCTGTCTCTGGTTGTCCATTTCCATAAGCACAGAGGATGTGCGCCGGAGAAACCTTCACTTTCTTCTAAATGCGGCGTCTGTGTCAACATCTGGTCAGGTAATTGTGCGCGGGTGAGACCTCGCTCTTCCACTTTAACCCACTTTGCCGTAAATAATCGCGCGAACCGAGCTGCACTCTTGGTCGCTCCGCGGAAGTATAGCGCTGTCCCGACAGATGCGGGAGTATCCCGGTGTGAGTCATCCCCGCAAACTGAAACAAACGTGTGCTGGGAAACGTGGGCCCCGCCAGCGCAAGGATGGTGTGTCAGCACCAGATACAATGGCACACTGTCCGGTCGGGTTTCTCGCTTTTTTTTGGGGGGGTGGTTGCTTTGTTTTGTTAAAAGCCATCTGCGAGTGTGACCTCTGTCTGCCATACAGTGCGCGGCCGGGCACCGCTTGTTTGGCGTCGCTGCTGGGGCGTACGCAGGAAGAGGCGGAGCGGCGGGATCCATTGATGTATGCAAAAACATGTGGCCTGCAAACGGCGCTTAAAAATAACCCCTTGACATCTGCGAATCAGGTTCCGATTTGAGTGGCGACATCCTGTCAGAAGCTCCGTAAAGCGCACACACACACACACACACACACACACACACACACACACACACACACACACACACACACACACAGATCCCTATAAGTCAACTTCTTGTCACAGACGAGCATTTCCTGCGATTGAAGCGTTCCAAAATGGAGGACGATAAACAATAACGGGATTAGAGGCTTACTCAAACTGTGTTGTGTTTTAGCAAAGACCACAAAGGCGGATTAATATTGATTCCTCATTAGCTTGTGACAGCGCCGGCCTGCGCGATCAAAGCAGTGAAGCGAAGTTGAGCCAAGAATGTCTTCTGGTTTGCGACCTTCTTCACTCACAAGACGCTTTTAGTCTCGCTCTGACCTTGTGGAGCGGAGTTACTAGCGTTTTGTTGTCTCACAGTGAGTCATCCGACTTCGTTGCCAAGCTCTGCCCAAACACAATGACAAAAACGAATTCTTGGAAATCATCGCCCATCTGTTTTGCATACTCAATTCAAATTTGGTAGCTACAGATGAGATGCACGGCAACAAATTTAGCATTTCCAAATGGAAAGGTGTGCATGGTTACGCGTTTCTGGTCTTGTTTCAAGCTACCGGGGCTGCCAGCAGGAGGAAAAATAGCCTCATTCGTGAAATGTGAGATAGTGTGTGACTGTGTCATCGGTATATGCAGTAGTTTGGTGCTGCAGCTTTTCAAGGTGGAAATGTCATCAAAAGTTTTTTTTTTTGGGATAGCCCCTCCAGCCAACGGTGTGCTGAGCCAGCTGTTATGTTCATCGAGTAAAGACAGTTACAAGTGAACTGCCACTAAAAAAAAAAAAAAAAAAAAAAAAAAAAGAGCTGGACAGTTGATAAATTCACCGAGACAATTTGCACAGCACTTTGGTTGATTTTGTGGTCTGTAAACAAATTTGAGCTCAGCCTCTCCAAAAAAGCCACGCAAGTACACTTGGACCTTCTCGTACTGTAAATGAGAAAGTAAAATGACATTTATAGTCATGTGAAGTCATTCGAACAAACAGCGAGTATGTTTGTAAGTGTCTGATGATGTCATTGTTAATGCTATTCGAAAGTTCGCACACCATACACCAAATGTGGTCATGGTGCAGGCATAGAATACATTGCACAAAGAAGTTTTGTCTTTGGGGGAAATCAATCAATCAATCAATACGGTTTTCACATGTACAGGGAAATGCTTGAAAAGGAGTTTTCGTTTCAAGTTTGTGTGGTCACGACCTGACAACAATATCTATCATGGCAAAGTTATGTCAACGCTAACCAACAACTCAGCTGCCGCGTGGCCGCTTCTGCCTCATTGTGTGTTGACTACAAACACACGAGAAGCCCTTTTGTTACTTGCCCCGCCTCCCAAATCATCTCAGTAATTTATTACAGACTTGAAACGTGTAAGAATAGAAACTCTCTTACCAAAACAGAACTCCGCCTTCGGCCTCAACTTTGTGGCATCGCTCACCTGTACGAGAACAAAACTTGCCATTGTTTGGTTCGCAAAATTCAAAATGCTCATTGACAAAATCTTATGTGAGTTGCCATCCAGGAAGCCAGAATATGCAAACCAGGGGAGAACATAAAGCAGAACCTCCAAATGGTGAGGCAGAACAACTAGGTCACCCTGCTGTCTCAAGTCAGTCTCATACAAGACGGTTTGGCTTACCTTTGAAATGTAAGTAAGCTTCAGGGAGCCGACGCAGTCGGCGTCAACCGGAAGATTCTGCGGAATAATGACGAGGAACATCAGTAAGAGATAAATAATCATCAATGAAAAGTAGGTGGATTGAAGGCTTCTTTTTCATGGCGCCTAACTTCTGCCATTGTGACTTTCACCTCATTAAAATGTTAGCCTTTGCATTCTATAAAAAGAAAGCGAGCCGGTGAATTATTCAAACTTTCTCCGGCGCTACACCGTCTCTGAATACTTCATGTAACAACTGAGCACTTACTCACGCAGCCACGCGAAAGCGGCGTAAAGGCTGCGGACGTGGCGACGACGGCAAGGTCCAGCGTGATCGCCTCTCGCCACTTGTACTGCTCGTAGAACGCTGTCGCCTCGCAGTCTACCTACGCTTTTACGCGCGGCCTGATAACAACTGATAACACGGGCAAGGCATGCCTCAGATAGCGTCCAGATGCTACGCGCTAAGCTAACGCTAACACCGCTCCCCTCTCCACCCAGCCGTTACCTGCGGGTTGTCCATGAACCACACCAGGCTGCCCTGCTGCGTGTCCAGGATGAAGTAGCGCCGCAGGAACTTGCCGCTGCTCTCGTGCTCCTCGATGTCCAGGAAGCCACAGATGCGGTTCTGCCGGTCCACGTAAGGCATGGCGCCGCCGGGACATTCCCTGGCCTGCTCCGGCCAAAAAAGCGGAGGAGGAGAGGAGTCGAGGGGGGAGAAGGGCAAACAAGAACTCCTGGATGGGGGGAAAAAAAAAAGAGGAAATTAAGATGAGAATGAGAAATTGTCGTCGTCTTGGCTGTAATTCTTGATGACTGTTCCACAATAATTCTGCTGTGATTGACAGCGAGGGCTCAGTGTGCTGCAAAGATCACGTGACCCACAACAAAAACCATACCAACCCACTTTCTCTCTCTCTCTCTCTGTCTCTCTCTCTCCGTTTTTTGTTTTTACTTGGCACGTCCCTGTTTTTCTTCCCCAGTAACACACGCGCGCGCACACACACGTACTGTCACATTCTATTCCATCTCCTCCACCCACCCTGGCTTGCTTTTTCTTTCAGCTTTTTTTTTTACTCCATTTCTCTCTCGCTCTCCTTTTTTTCCCCTATTCGCACTATCCCCTCCCAAATGCGCTCGCATCTGATTTGGCAAGCCTCCGGCCGGCCCACTCAATCTCCTCCCCCCTCCCCTAAACCTGAGCGCCCACTTGAGCGTGGCAAAATGGAGAAAGACAAAAATAAAAAGGGAGAACGGAAGGAAAAAAAACGAGGCGAGTGAGTAAACCCCTGCGGGAGCTGAGGCGGAGAGAGGCGGCGAGCACAATTTAACCTGCGGACATGTGACGCACACCTGAATTCTACGTCGCAATCAGGCACACTACATTGGCGTGCATACAGGAAGCCCATAAAAATTGCACAATTTCAAGTCTGACCTACATTTCTGTGGAAAAATACGCTTCACTCAACCCGCAGAAATATACCAGTGATGGCAAAACGTGTGAACACCAAAGAAGACGTGGAACTTCTTGAAATATAAGAAAGCAGTGCACACATCTCTGGCCCAGCTCTTCAGTACAATACAAGCGCTGTCACGACGAATGAAAAACCATCAGTAACTGACACCCCCCAAAATGCTTAGAATTGCCTTCTATTAATGGTTTCAACTTTAAACATACCACCAAAATATTTTAGTGTCATTTCAAACTCATCTTTTAACATTGTCCTTACAAATAATTCACTTGACTTTAGGGTCAGCCAATCCTCCATTCTGCATCTCCAGTTGGCCCAGAATACTGCTGCTCTCCTCTTTACTGGTACTCGTAAGAGGGAGCACGTAACTCCTACTCCTACTCTGGCATCCCTTCACTGGCTCCCTATACAATTTTGAGTTCTTTTCAAGATCCTATTATTTGTTTTCAAATCTTTAAATTGCCTGCGGCCCACCTTACCTCTCTGAGCTCTTCCGCCCCTGCCCGGTGCCTCAGGTCTGCAGACCAGACACGATTAAAGATAGCAAGAACGAAGCAGAGCCTCAGAGGGGATCGAGCCTTTTCCGTTGCTGGTCCCTCTCTTGAAAAAAATGAACCAGAAGTGCGCATACACATCCAAATGCAACCTCCATAACTTCCACTCACAAATTAAACTTTGCACCTCCCCGCCATGCAATGATCACGAGATACATCATCTCAACATAGTTCAAAACCAACTGCTTTGTAATACTTTCCTATGAAGCGGGCCTTTGGTGGCATCTGAGGGCACAGCAGCACCAACACAAAAACACATAAATAAATGCAGCTGCGCCCTGAGACACAAGTCATCCGAATGATGGGCCTCCCGAGATACAAGTTGTCAATAAGCAGCACTCCGGGAAATAAGTCAACAATTGTACAAAAACACAAATGGTGTAGCAACGCATTCCAATACTCTGTCATATAGTATTTATCCTCTGACAGGAACTTGGAAATCTATATTGTACAGACAATATAATCCATCCGTCTGTCTGTCTGTCTGTCTTATACCGCCCCTGTGAGTATGTCCTAATGCTTTTCTTTCTGAAATATTGACTTGACTGAGAAATGTCTAATTGGCCAATGCGTGGATAAATAATGAAGTCCCAGGATAGTCTGTATGACACCCCCCCACCCCACCCCGTCTCAATATGAAGTCCTTTGTGTTTGGGCGTAGCATTACTGTCAGCGTACTGTGGCTTCAGACGGTTTAAGCTACTCGACTGCGCGAGTGAGATGGCTTCTCGGAAAGAAAGGCAGATAAAGATGCTCTTTCTCCGCCGCATTACGAGCGCCGTGCGGGCGGATTGGGGGGGGGGGGGGCAAAAAAAGGCCCGGTTGAGGGGGCAACAAAAGGCCCGGTTGTTGTGCGGCAACAGAGTCTGCGGCGGTGAGAGCATCTCAGTTAGCCGCTACGTGGACTTGAATAGTCACACACACACACACACACACACACACACACACACACACACACACACACACACACACACACACACACACACACACACACAGTCAGGAGAAGATAAGCATTTAAACACAGACACAAGAAGCAATTGTTAGGCGACCGTGAGAGATGCTTCTGTTAAGTACAGCCTGGAAATAGAGTGCTGAGAGCAGGTTTTAGGGTCAGACAAATAAATCCATGTCAATTTTTAATTGCTAAAGTAGTTCTGTTGCACTGTTGGGCACTCCGCACATTATATCGGCAGCATTGTTAGTTCAAAAGCATTACAGAGGTTTCCATCCGTTGTTAAAAAAAACAAAAAAAAACCCCTAACAAAAGTAAGCTTCAAATTGTTTTGGCACCAAGTATGACTCAAAAGATGGTTAGCCAAGTTTACTTCACACCTAACCTTGAAAAATTGAACAGTTGACATGTACGAGTTCATCCCAAAGTTTAGAGAAGGTCAAATGAAGTTCACTTTTAAAGGTTTATAGTGAATTTCAAGTTCGTCCTGGAATTGACACCTTAAAGCCGAATCTTCCTAATTTTCCTGTGTATATTGCGAGCTAAGCTTTCTGTTGAGCAAGCATGACATGAAATCCAAAAGCAGAAGGTTACAACGAAAGAGGAGGGAGGTGTTCTTGCGTGGGTGGGCAGCTCGGACAGAAAGCCAACATTTGCTATGCCGTGGCTTTTGTGTCCGGTGTCACGTGGCGGCCAACTGGTCATGCAGGGACGACGATGGGTCATTAAAAAAAAAAAAAAAGCACAGGCCAGCTGGGAACCTCGGCCGAGTCAATATTTTCATCTAGACGGTCATCTCGAGCCCCTGTTGTAAGGAACAGCTGCCGTGGGGGCATTGCACGTTTCTCGTGGGGCAGCAGTCTGTTCGGTTTGGTTTGAGACCATCTGCGGACAGAACGGTTATAAGAAGGGGCACTGCTGGGGTGCCTTTGAGCATGGTAGCTAAACCTAACTGTCCAGTTACCACCAGCTTGGTAAAGGGCTCAAAATGACTCATTTTTGGTGCGGAACAGCTCCAGTCGCAATTCTAACAAGGATATGGTCAAGTAGTTTTTTTTTGTTACAGTATATATACACGACACTTTAAAATGAGCTTTTGTAGCTTTTCTAGGGACGAGAATGGCAGTTGAGAAAATCGCACTCCTCAGGGGCGGCGGGGCGGGTGCGGATGGCGCTCGCCTTGAGCCAAAACATACTCGTCGATTGAGCCAGCAAGGTGTTCTCAACTGCCAAAACCCAAATTGACTGCCTCACTTTCTAACCATGAAAGGGAAACGTGTCAATTTACACCACACAGCCACAAGTATTTAACCAAAAATAAGATTAGTTGGAGGTCTCACCACAAACACAATAAAAACTCAAGTGAAACTAACAGTGCCACAGACAAATGCTTAATTTTTTTTAAAAAATCCTGCCCGCAATGCCCCGTCTGACAATAAGCAATGACATCAGTGTCGTTGAGCGACACGAGCGTCGCTTTCGGTGTCGTAAAGCAGCACAAGTGTCGCTGTGTCGGCATGTGTTGGAGCAAACAAGTTCTCTGAATACACGTCTTGTTCGCACACATTTGTTGTCTGGGCATTATTAGACAAGTTTTTCATCTCAATGGGATTTTTCCTGCTTAAAGGATGCTTCAATAAATAAAAAACTATCAATTTTCTTCAACCATCCAGCGCAGCTCAAACAAATTGTGTATAAAATATAAAATAGCTTGAAAGTGCTTGAAAAATTTTAAAGCGGATCCAAATTTACCTCACTGGCGCTCCGGGTGAGGATAATGACATGCAGCTGCTTGCTCTCATGAGACGCGATATTACAGCGCTTCCTATTTCACCTCCAATACAATTGGATGCCATTAGAGAAGGGCTTTTACAAAAAGCAACTGTATCCCGTGCCAAAAATAGCATGTTCGAGAGGCGTGCACATGTTCTACATGGTGAGGGCTGGCTCCATTAAACAGCCGGAGATATGAATAGGTACATACGACACGCTCTTTTTCAACGGAGAGCCTATGGCGATGCTATGCTAACGTTTGTGGGTTCCGATAAATTTTCTGAGACTGTCGCCCCTGCCAACATGGCCGCCTCGTAGGCATGTCCGTTAGCCTGCTCTAACGGAAAATCGGTGTACCGGTCTCCGTCTGCTGATTACGCCACTGACTGACAATGACAACTACTGTACAAAGGGGCACTTTCAGCAGACCGGATACTACTTTCTGTCCATTAAATTCAAAGTCCATCTGTTAAAATCGAGCTTTCACTGTACAATTAGTGTCTGGGAAGAGCTTTTGTGTTCATTTATTTCTTTGCCTGTTGGTTTAAATATGTCTCAGTGAAGCCGATTGGAGACCGACCGCTCAACTGTTGATTGCCGTCTTTGATTATGACTTCCGCTCAACTATCATCACATTATCATCGAATACATAAAAACTTGGATGAATGGATAGTAAGTCACGGTGTTCCATCATTGGTTTGTTTAACAGCCCCATGAGTTACTCATGTTGTCCTTCGGGCTAACTAGGAAATGCTGGCACCATTTTTTTTTTAGGACAATGCACATTTATCATGGCAAAAAGGCATCCGTTTTTGCAGTGTCTCTTTATCTTGCGCCCTTCGTTCGCAACTGCTCACCCCCCCAAAAAGTAAAATCGAGGCCATTAATTTCAACAACATTACTCAACTCTGCAAACAAATAATTGTGAGGGGGACGGGGTTGAAGAGGCTGAAACTGATGAATAGCATTTCATTCATCTTCAATAGGTACAACTATATTTGAGATCGGGATGATGTGGCAAGGCACCACTGAGTCGAACGCGTCGGAGCCTCAACAACAGCGATGAGGATGCAGGTGCTTTCGAACGGGTCAAAGGTCAACTTTCCAACAAACACAACCGCGGTCACTCCTGCCTCCGAGTCGGGCACGTCTCACTCCAAACAGGTTCGACAGGCTTCGGCCTCCCTCCTCGGAGACGAGCTGGTCGATCAGTTGGTCCCACTGGGCTCTGTCTACCACCCGGTAAATACCACTGTGCACCGGGTAAAAGATACCGACGACACCGACTACGACCTGGGTTAGCCTCACGAGCTAGTTAGCACGTATAAAAGCAGCAAGTTCCTCAAGTTAACCCGAGAGGAACGGTTATAACATCTGGCAAAGGTTCCTACAGCACACAAAAGATATATTATAGTGTACCGTGAATAATAATAATAAAACAATCGTATCTTGAAGTGAATTTTACACGTTAACCCGGTCAAGCTAACCCTGACGAGCGTTGCTGCGACGAATCTCATCCCGAGCAAAATTCCACACACACGGCTCCGTCAAAAGCCGAGTCGGATACTCGGCGAGGTTAGCCACCTTACCTAGCCGCAGTGTGTGGCCTCGATTGCCGCCTGGCTGTTGCTGGTGGGGGTCGCCCTTCTCCGCCTCAGCCCATCTCTCAGCCAGCAATACGGAGTAGGTACCCGGAGCAACTCTGGCGACGCTCAACGCGGAGGAGCGGCGCAGATCGGCAAGAACTACGATGGGCAACTCTACGCTTATAGCTGGATTGCGCTGGCTTTACGGAACGATGACCGAAGTTCAATGATTAAAACAATAAGTTTTTATTGATTATTGTTTAGCTTCATTCATATGTAAAAATGCATCATTTGCTAGTAACGTGCGTATTAATATTTATATTATTGAACGTCCAGAGTGAGGGGTGTTAATGTATATAATAAACTCTTGGTTAGAATCGGACAGGGGGGGGGTGGGAACAACTGCGTAGGGTGTTGACGTGGCGACATCTGGCGGTATTATTGAGTACTGACCGATAATTTTGTTGCCTCGTCGAGGTTGAAGCAAACAACAAAATCTGCGCTTTCTTTCCAGTACAATAAAAAGTCTTGAATAAAAAATACCACTGAAGGACAACAAAAACTGATGAATAAGAAACCAACATTAAGTAGAAAATAACTCATTTTGGCCTCACTCAGAATTGTTATATAATTGAGGTGGTATGTTTGTCCTGTATATCATTACAAATTCGCAAAAAAAAAAAAAAAAAGATAGGCCTGCTCACGTTCTGTCGGGCTGGTACATTATGGTATTCATACTATGTATGATTGTACAGTATGATTGATGCACATTACTTAACATTCGGCAGCAGTGCTCATTCTTTATACGAACACACTTTTATTTTGGAACCAAAATCGCAACCGAATGACCTCCGTATCTTCATGACTGCACTGATATAATGTACACATTTGCACACATGCACCAACGAAACATGAAAAAACAGGTTTCCACTCTGCAGTCACATTTCAAGGCAACCTGCGTGTTTGAGAGGGCGTTGACGAACGCAGGAAGAAGACACGCACAGCCGGCTCACGCGTGTACACGCACACACGGAGTCAAGTTTGAACAAGCCGAGCAGGAAAGGAAGCTGTATACGCTCAAGCTTTCCTGTTCAATGAACGTGGCACCTTTCTGAGCCTTCCTTTCTTTTTAATTTATTTATTCCGGCGGGGGGTTCATGGAGGAGGAAGAGGGAGACAGTCTCGCAGAGCTGAAGGCCTTCCCGTCCGTGCAACCTCGGCACAGGTTCCGCTCCCACAGCGACGCATCGGGCTTCACCGCCAGAATCCTGTGGAGGCTCAGAGGAGCTCGCCCAGGTAGGACGACACACTTCATATCGCATAGCACTCCCAAGACTTTCACAATGAATACGTAATGAACAAAAATCTAATAAAACAATCAGTTAGTTTTTTCAGTTTAAAACGGTTCCCAGGTGTCTTAACATTGGTGACATACTTTTGTGAAATACCTCAAGGATCATGACTTACATCACTAAGTAAACGACTGCACCCCCACCCCCCACCCGATGTTCATTATGCTAGGCCAAAGTAACCAAATAAAAGCATTTTCACTCGCTGAGGCAGCACCGAGCAATCAAGTATGTGCCGTTTATCAGCTGTTGGCTAGCACTAATCTGTGCATCCAAAAGAACTCGGCGCAGCTCTGCTTACCCTTTTTACTTTGACATGATGGCAGGGTTGTCAAAGCCATGGGAGGGGGGGGGGGGTTGTTTGATAGTGTTCCAGACAGTGTAGTTCAGTGGAAGGACTCTATTCTTCACTTGAAAGTGGCTCTGGATCTTCACCCATCCTTGCTGATCATGCCCTGGGTGGATAAACTCAGTGTGGGTGTAGTTAGAAGTAAATTATCCCCACTGGACATGAGGCGCAGTGTGATGTGCTGACATCTGATGTGACATGCGGGATGGTTGAGTTGTCTTTTGGGGAAAAAAAACAGTGTTGCAAACAAGCCAAAGTAAAAGCAAAACACACCCAAAGTTCATCCCTTCAGCTTTCAAATGTTTAGATTTTGCTCTGTTAGCCAAATGGACCGATAGCAGGTTGCCATAATTGTTCCTTAAACTTGATGTTTGTTTTTCTACAGACTTTGTTTGAGTTATTTTTTTGTGTGGCATTTCCGACCAATTGCTGAATTATTTCTGACCTTAAATGCCAAAATGCTTCACCCGTGTGCACGCTGCTAAGTCTGCATGTTGCGTCGCTTAAATGTCACTCTGTACCACTTTGGCAACCACAAGTGTTGCTGTGTTTCCGACCAGCCGTCTTTAGCATTTCAGCCTTGATTCCTGGTGGGTATGCCGTTCAGTCTTTGCCCCAGTCACATTTACAGGATGTCTTGAAAAGTATCCTTTAAAAATGTACAGCATGGTCTTCAGTAGCATTTTCAATAATACAATGGGAACTTCCAGAAGTAGCGTGGAGGTCTAGTGGTTAGCATGTTTGCTTCCTGATACTGAGTTGGGCCGGGTGTGTATCATTATTGGGCCGATACCGGCCTTATTTAAATGTATCGCAAACTTGTGAAGACTGCCGAGAACAACCACTGATGTGCGAAGCAAAAAAAATCTGACTATGGGTCATTGTCATGCGTCAGAAAGAGGAAAAAAAAAGGTCTTAGGTCACAATTATCTTTTCATTGTGTTGATTGAAATTTGTTGACTGAAAAGTACGAGTAGTATCGATATTTAGTATCAGCATCGTCAAATTTCCCAAAGGTGTTACAATTTGAAGCTCAAGCATTATTTTGACCAATCTAAATGGATCAGTTGTGCTGTGGGAAATTATCATCCATCTATGCCAGCAACGTATAGTGACAGGCAGGATAATTAAACGGTCTTCCACCAGAATCATTTCAGAATACGTCCAACATTTTGTGACATTTTTGTTTGGTGCTATGCTCTGATTTTTTTCCTAATGTTAAGACAGTATATTAATGTTAAAATATTCCCCTGAAATAAAAAAAAAAATCACAAATAGATTTTAGAATGAAATTCACTTCAAACACAAACATTTTTTGTTGACATTTTAACTCGGAAGTCAACCGGCGTCACACGAGTTGACTGCGTTCCACTTTGGAGCTTCTCCTCTTATTGTTAGTGTGTACAGCGATATGAAATGGCTTGTGAATCATCATTAGGGAAGTCGTTTCCATAAATAGTCCATAAGGAATCATGTGTAGACTGTAAATAGCATGCTGGCCTCCAAACGGACAATCTATTACTTTCCTCTAATTACCCAGGCAGAAGGGAACCATTCGGGCAGAAGAGCCTGGGATCAACCAAAATATTAAAATGGGTTCAAAGTGAGGAGAAGGGAGGAAAAATGTGACTTGAAACGGCAAAAAAATACAAAAAAATAAACAATAATAATAATAGAGTGGGTCAAATTAGATGTGAGGAAAGTGTGATTAAGGAGGAGGAGAACGCAGCCAGAAAAGGCTGAAGAAATGGAAGAGGAGGGCCGTGTCAGCTCACTCCTCGAAATAGCCGAGATTAGACAGCATTTGAGTCGACAATGAGCACTTGCTCGATGTGCTCTTTTTTTCATTGTGCACAGAGCAGTCGTTGCCCCCGACGGAAATATTGAGAGAGAGAGAACGACAGAAGACAATGAGATGAGACAAGAAGAACAGAACACAATTGGACCTCGGTGTGATTGTGAGCGGTTGTCGTTTGTCGGCGCGTGCTCTGCGTTTGGTTAGCAACCGCTTCGGGGTCTACCCCGCTGGATGGATACTGTACAAGTGGTCTTACAGTGTCGAGATCCCTTTATCTGATAACATGTGGCTTTGAAACGTTTTATTACCTTAAGCGAGTTATTTGTCACGCGGCGAAGGCCAGCAGGTTATTTGTACTTTCAGTGGCAGTGGTTTTTTTCCTCCCTCATTTTGAAGTTAAATTGTCACCTTCCTAGTTTACCAATAACTGCATTTAGTTCCTGACAAAGACCTCTGCTCCATTAATAGTTTTTAAAAAAGCATTTTATCAGCAAAGGGACCATACAGACCGTTAGCTTTCAAAGCCGTGGCCGCTCGTCGAGCATGTTTTATAGCGTCCTGATTCATTATGTCCACTTGCGTTAAAAAACAAACAAAGAAAAAACAGGAAATTAAAGAAATCAAAACCTTGTGGCAGACACACACACACACACACACACACACACACACACACACACACACACACACACACACGATTGGACGATAAAAGTCTCCATGCGCAATATTGAATGTTGACGCTTTATTATGTTAATTATGGTTCATTCGAGTTGCTTCCAGTTCAATAACATCTAAAACAAGTCGGAGGTAAGACATACAGTATATTCTCTCTTCTCTCCAGTATATATTCTGCCATTAAAATTGAAACTGGTAGTCATGTCTGTGTGTGTGTGTGTGTGTGTGTGTGTGTGTGTGTGCGTGTGTGTGTGTGTGTGTGTGTGTGTGTGTGAGTGTGTGTGTGTGTGTGGCATGCACCATTATTCCACTCTCTGAAGTACTTTCAGAAAAATGTTGACTCTGCGACAATTTCCGCTCGGTTTTGTATTTTTTTGGTCATGGGACACTGGTGCTGCCGGTTGAGGGTGCACCTGCTGTTCTAACCTTTGTTGTGTGCGTGTGTGTGTGTGTGTGTGTGTGTGTGTGTGTGTGTGTGTGTGTGTGTGTGTGTGTGTGTGTGTGTGTGTGGCTCTGGCTCGTGTTGCTCTTTACACAGCAGTCAATGTCGGTAATTGCGCTGGAGCGAAGCTTGACCTTTTGCCGTGACTCTGATCTGTGAACCCGTACTGAAAACAAGCAGCCATAAATCATACCTGGCAAACGCACACACCTATTCATTTCCTTTTTTTTTTTTTTTTCGCCTTCCCATTTGCATGACTTTCGGTTTCACGGTGAGTACTCCGTGCGATAAGGAGCCGGGCATGCTCGGGGATAGGAGCCGGCCGGACTCAGGGGGAAGATCGGGGACCTGAGATGGAAAGAGACATTAAGTTTTAATGCTCTTTACTGGAGGGAGAGGAGGCAGGCAGGCAGGTGGGAGGAGCGAGCGATGAAGGAGGAGGAAGAGGAGGTGGAGGGCGATATGTCGGGAAGAGGCGAGGATCAACTCACACGGCTGATAATATTCCCCCGGTCAAGTCATGGAACATGATGGTGAGTTTCTCTCCGCTCTTTTGTTTATGAGTTAAATATATATCACCATTATCCTCATGCAACTATTATTTCTATTCAAATGACCACTTATATCATCCACTAATTGTGCAATATTTATAAGATGCTAATGCTATGAGACGATCACTGTGTAACATGAAGGAGGGTTGGACTGTACGGGCTTTTGGTGTTCTTCGGCGATTGGAGTTGTCAACTTTATGCCGTATTCTAAGTCGCCTGAAACAGCGGAAGTGTGATGACTGCACATATTGTGGTCATGCAGCCCAGGTGGGTGTTGTTTGTGGTCATATTTGGGTGTATTCAAATGACACAGGTCGTGCGGTTTGTTTTTGAGGCTTTAGGAGGCAGGCGCAACCAACCGGCATCAGGTCATCTGATTGAAATGAGATATTTTTATGAGTTATGTGTTCATCAGGAGAGAATAACAATGCCCTGCTGGAATCATTCGAACCTGTGTGCTCATTTCTGGTTGAGAAATTATGTTCAAGTGTTCTTGACTAGCCTCAAAGTGAATTATCAGGACCATTCCTTGTGTCACGGCTCGTTCAAATGTGGTATTTGCTTATAATCCTTATACCACGTGAGAAAATACGTCGTCGTAAGCTTCGGTTAAAATGTGTTATTTGCTTATAATCATTATACCACGTGAGAAAATACGTCGTCGTAAGCTTCATTTCTCACGCCCGCCTTCCCTCCACCTCCGGTTGTTGTTCGGTACCTTGAAAGGATTCAAAAGGTTCTTGTATTCTGATCTCAAGTATGATTCGTGGTGTCTGTTTTACGAGGCGTGTGAGAAACGACATTCCAGCTTGACATCACAAACTAAGCGACGGCTCAACCAGTCAAGTCAGGACTTTTTCACCTGTCGGCTTGACGTCTTGTCTCCAAAGCAACACACCTGCTGTTTGCTCTCATTTCTCGCATGTCTCATGGAAATACTCGACTTGGCGCTCATTGGCTCTGACCTCGATGCATTCCAGTCAAACGTCAATCCCAGAATAGCTCCGTTTCATTGTTTCAAATACATTTTAGCGAACGGATCCTTGCAGAAATTATTTAGATAGTATCTTCACAGCAATTACAGGGCAGTACTGATTCAAACCTTTGGACAGTTTCGAGATGTCATCGAACGTGC